GACATAAGGCATAAGTTCAAAGCCATAAGTTCAAGTATTATCAATTTTCAATGAAGCGAGTTGGCGGTTCCTGAGTGCCCAGCAGCCCAGAGAGAAGGAACCCAGTAGGTTAGGTTAGAATTAGAGGTTTTTCAGCATTAGTAACACTAAGAGGTCTGGCCAAGGATCCCATGCTGCCCAAGAAAGCCCAGGGAAGCTGACAGCCAGATAGAGTAGGAGGAACTGAATGTCATAGTAAGAGTTTGAAAAAAAAACAAAACACACACACAAAAAAAACAGATGCCCCAGAAATAAGGAAGGGAAGGAGGTGGTGAAAGAACAAATTGGAGTCTTGGGGGGTGGTGTGATGCCAGAGTTCCTTGCAGAAGAGTTTGAAGTCCTAAGGGCAAAGGTCAAGCTAAGGCGATGGGTGTTTGTAGTGCGAGCTTGTTGCTGTAGGCTTTAAGTTCATCTTTGTCTCCAGTGTTTAGTGCCGTGCCTGGCAAATAATGGACTGAGCAAATATTTGAATGAGTGGGATGGAAGTAAAGGTCTTGACATTGAGGGATTTAAGCCCATGGAAGGTCAGCATGCTAGACAGGTCATCAGTTTCATTGATGAAAGTCACTGGATAAAGTCGTGATGCTGTGGTTAGAGTGCTTCAAATTCTCCGCCAGTCTGAGTTGAAGGCCCTCAGTTTTAGCTCATCAGCCCCTGCGAATCACTTGAAATGGGTTCCTCTTACTCCGTATTTACTTGTACCACCCACAGAGTTACACTTTATCAGAGGCTGCTAATTGCCACTACATTAACTTTAAATAAAACCGTGCTCCTCTGATAATTTTGAACTCTGCGGAGTATTCTTCTCCATGATTCCTAAACTGTCAAATTTATCTGTTTCTTAGTATTTTTATCCAAGTCAGAAACAAATGCTTCTTATACTACTATTGGCAGGTTTCAAAAACCTGCCAGACTTGTCGGCACATATTGTGGCCTGTGATGCCTTTCTCCAAATCTGCATTCCCGCCCCCCCTCCTTTATTTCCAAGCATTTTGTAGCATCTTTCTACAATAGGACTGCTACCTAAAAAAGCTTTGGATAAAATATGGCTGCAAGTAACACTAAGTGTAAAGGCTTCTGTCCTTGAACTGTAACTTGTGAGGTCAGCAAGACATTTCTAAGCTGGGCACGTTCTAGATGTCATTTTGGGGTAAAGAAACCATGTTTACCCAAAGAGAAGGCTATCTATAGATTTTCTGTCCAAAAGGGGCCTTATCAGCTTTTGATGGCTTATCGCTATTCTGTGGCTTATCGTTTACATAGCATTTAATATTCTCTTTCTTATCCTTTTACTCCTCTTATCAAAAAAGAGAAGAATATAGAAATCTTAACTGAACTTGCCTGAGGTTACTTAGATTCAGGAAGGTTTTATGAGCCTTAATTAAAAATACTGGAGAAAAATGTCTTTGTTTGACCTGAAGTAATAGGATTTCTGTGTTGCCGAAACCGGTTTGGCTCAGTGGATAGAGCGTCGGCCTGCGGACTGAAAGGTCCCAGGTTCGATTCCGGTCAAGGGGCATGTACCTGGGTTGCGGGCACATCCCCAGTAGGAGATGTGCAGGAGGCAGCTGATCGATGTTTCTCTCTCATCGATGTTTCTAACTCTCTATCTCTCTCCCTTCCTCTCTGTGGAAAATCAATAAAATATATAAAAAAAAAAAAAATAGGATTTCTGTGTTTCTCCATCTACTTTCTAAGCTAATATGTTTTGTTGTTGCTAACATTAATTTAACTGTTGTACATAGAAAAATGAAGGCAAGTCGAGTTATCGTAATATTTAGAAAAGCGGTTGAATGTGAAATTTGTTTTCTAGAAAATAAATCTCCCTAAACTGAATTGTTTGGCAGGGTGGCCAAATCTGACTTCTTGCAATGCTGGGAACGGAAAACAAATGTGTGTTTTCTGTGCACCTTGTGAAGGCCACATTTTAGGGATGAAGAACTGAGGCTGAGGGAGGATGAACAGTATGTCCAAGGTCCCCTAGCTATACAGCTGTGAAGTAAGAATTCAAATTCAAGTCTCCCTACTTTCAGACACCTGTGCTTTCCACTGCTCCACACTATGCTGATTTCCACTGTGCCGCTCCACATCTGGAAGAGAGAACTATTGCCTGTGTGTGTTTCCCATGGAAAAGCATGCAGGTGTTGACAAGGTGGTGCTAACTCTCACCATTCTGCTCTCTTGTGTTCTAGATTTTCTACCCTAGCAAGGATGGTACCAAGATTCCAATGTTCATCGTGCATAAAAAAGGCATAAAATTGGATGGCTCTCATCCTGCCTTCTTATATGGCTACGGCGGCTTCAACATCTCGATCACACCCAACTACAGGTAAGCATGGACCATGATCCCCTCCATCCAGTGGAAGGAAACCAGAGCCTCGTCTGTTAAATCATGCTTTTTTCTCATATAGTTAACCATACATTTCTTGGCTTGTCATTTTCATGGAGGGATAGGATTGCGTTAACTACATGCATTTTTGGTCAGGAATTCCAGGATCATTACAAGCTGGTGTCTTTAGTGGAACAGGTTGTTTGGGAACTAAATGCTGAAACTTTAGCTGCCAGAGTACAGAAGGTTCGTATCCATGGAGTTTTGAACAAAGGAAGCGCCTACCTTCCGTGTTTGGCATTTGCCCTCAGTATTCTCTTCATAAGGAAGGATTTTGCAGCTTCTGATGATATTTTTTCAGCAGCCAAGTCTTAAAATAGACTATCTTAACATTCAGCCATAAATATATTTTCTGTGTACTCTATTATTTGATCCATTTTAAACTGTCCTACACAGTTTCTGTGATTATGTCCCAGTAATTACGTTCAGGGAGAAAAAAAATCTAAATTTAAGCATTTGCTATTGTTTATATAAATGTCTCCTGCCAGTTCTTTGCAAACCTGATTTTACTATCCCATTCACAGTATAAAATGGAATTTGCTGTGAGCATCTCTCATATAAAAGCCTAAGCTACCGAACAACCAGAACAACTGAATGACCCGGTCAACCGGTCACTGTGACACACACTGACCACCAGGGGCAGACGCTCAACGCAGGAGCTGCCCCCTTGTGGTCAGTGCACTCCCACAGTGGGAGTGCCACTCAGCTTACCAACCCAGCCCGGCAGCCCACCAACCCAGCCCGGCAGCAGCCACTCACTCGCTCATTAGTCCTGCAGGTCCAATCTCCGGAGAACGGGCCAACCACTGATGGACCGGCACTGCTGGCACGATCCCAACAGCGCCACCCGCCTCTTGGAAGTCAGCCTTAGGCACTGTGACCGCTTCCCCTCCCTAGACACTCTGCAAGGAAGAAACAATATAAAAGCAGCTGCCATGTGGCTCCTGACAACCAGCGCAAACATCAGTGGGATGGATCCCGGGCTAGCAAGGGCATCCCACCATCCACCTGGAGGGCTGATCGCATCCCAGCCCCTCACCCTTATCCCCCTTGGGACGGGCACCAGACACGGCTTATGGCTGGCGAGCGCCGCTGTAGCTGCACAAGCCTCAGGACTGACTGGACACGAGCCCATGGCAGGCACAGTGGGGCCAGGATGAGCGGGAGCAGCAGGCGGTGTTAGACTGCTGGTTTCGGCCCAATCCCCGCAGGCCACAACAAGGGACAAATTCGTGCACCGGGCCTCTAGTTTTTAATAAAAGCAAGGCGACTCCTACCAGCAAGATCAGTTTTAAGCCAACTTCTAAATAGTGCCCACCATGAAATCTGATTCTCAGATTCACCTTTCTTATTTGGAAAGAAATGAGGGTGACTATTAGGACATGAATTCAGAGTAGATTCCAAATTTAAATGTTACTTTATTTCAAGTACTTGGTATCAGTAGTGCATTCTACTAATTATTTAGGATTTAATGAAATGGTTTATAGCCGAATTGTGAACTGTCTTGAACATCTGGCTAAAGAATTTGGTTTTGTTAGTGAGTAGCTGAAAAGGTGTGAAATCATTGTGTAGAACAGTATTTTCAGAAGATTAGTGAGGCATTATTGTATGAGTTGCTCTTCATTCATTGCACAATGACATCACCATTCTACATTCTAGGTTGCTTTCTCTATACCAAGCACCATGCTAGGCAAGGCCTGAGCCCACAGACGGGCTTCCTATCTCTTAACAGAGTTTCCCAGGCAGTGAGATTTGCTGTTTCATTAGTATCCATGTCTGTGGTAAAACCAGAAGCCATATTTATTCCCTGTGTCTATTAGTCTAAGGATGCAGAGCAATAGCTGTTCACCTAATCCTTACAACAGAATATACAGTATGTCATTATTTGCCCCTCTTCCCACCCAGAGTGATGAAATGCAAGCTTCAGTTTCCAGTTGCAGTGAGACCTGAGTGTAGGCCAGTGAACATGTGCTTCATCTAATGGACAAGGCAGAGGCTCGTACCTTGAGCCCTATATCCTTGGCCTCCACAGGGTGGCAAGGAGCCAGACAACACTGGTCCCAGAGCAGATCTGAAGTTAACATCATTTGTCTTTGGTCATTTGTGCAACAAGTATTTATGAAGCCTGCTGTGTTGAGAATCAGGAGATGAATAAAGAAGAGCCCCTAGCCACTTTCAGCCCAGAACCCGGTGGATGTTCTGATGGTTTCAGTGGAGACCATCAGAGGTGCATGAACAATATCGAAGAAAAAGACCAAGCAATTGAAGATCCATTTGGACAGTCTAGCATGAAGGCATGCTCTCATCACCTACCCCGGCTGTCCTTTCCTCTTCATCCCCGAGACCCAGGAAATGAGCTGCAGGTTGCAGAAGCCCATGGTTTCCCCAGTTACTGTAAGGAAGAAGGATAAACTTCTCAAAATAGTTCCCAAATAGTTAAAATTTAATTTAAACTAACTGCAGCTAGAAAAAGAAATGTCACTCAGCATTTTTAGGACCAGAGTGGAAAGAGGAGGAGAAAAACATGAAATCCAAATTTTCCAAAGGACTTAATTCTTTTCCCTAGAAACTTGGTGCTGTAGTTTCTTCTGTTTATTTCTAGAAAACATTCTCCTGCCATGAGCTCTCCATTCTTACATTCTAGTCTGTGTCCTTTACCTCCACCACCTCTCTTAATGTATGTTGTCTAGTTATCTGAGCTTCTGTAAAACCCATTTAAAATCCATGCTTCAGAAAGAGCTCCCTTTTTTCCAATTTGAACAATGTGGAGAGAGAGACTGGAAAAAAATAAAGGTAGCAGAGCAGGAGCCGTTATTGGTGTTCCTACGAGCCCAGCACCGTTCACACCAGGCCTGTGTCACCTGGCTGGCAGTATCTTGTTTGCCAAGATAGATGCTAAAAGATGTTCATTATGAAATGAGGGCCTCTGTTTTTTTCTGTCCGCATTATGAATTTTGTATTCCCACCTTGTATGGTGAAATATTTGCCAATATAGTACAATGAGGTCTTCTGAACGCTCATGAGCATGTATGAGCTTTGCAGTTAAACATTAACCAGAAGTTATATGTTTTGCTTTAATCAGGTAATATAAAAATGTTGGGCTCCGATTTAGAGGACATCACACATAGTGTTTTGGGGGATACATTTTCTTTTTTTTGAAATGGAGGGAAATAATGTGGTCCTTACTTGGCGATTAATGGAAGGTTCACTATTTTTATTGTTTCTCAGTGTGTCCAGGCTTATCTTTGTGAGACACATGGGTGGCATCCTCGCAGTGGCCAACATCCGAGGAGGCGGTGAATACGGAGAGACGTGGCATAAAGGTGAGGTCTTTTCTCCACAGAAATGCAAATAGGGCATAGTCAGAGCTATGTTTGAATGAGCAGAAGGAGCATTTCACTAAACAAATGAAAAGTAAGGATATTTGCAAACATATTGCAGGTACCACTCCCCCTTAACCCTTTGCGACCCAATTTTATTTTTGGAATTCAGATAGTCTGGTCCAAATTAATTGACGGGATAGAATGTTGAACCAGCAGTGTCAGCCTCAGCCTCGACGTTGGACCTGCTCCTAGCACCTGGTCTGTCGAGTCAGACTCCATGTTGGACCAAAAAGGGTTAAAAATAACTTCATGTTGGGGTTTTTTTACCTTTTTAATTGGTTAATAAAATTATATAGGTTTCAGGGGTACAGTTCTACAATACATTATCTGTATGTTGTATTGTGTTCACCACCCCAAGTCAAGTCCCCTTCCATCACCACATATCCCCCTATACCAGTGGTTCTCAACCTGTGGGTCGCGACCCCTTTGGGGGTCGAACGACCCTTTCACAGGGGTCGCCTAAGACCATCGGAAAACACATATATAATTACATATTGTTTTTGTGATTAATCACTATGCTTTAATTATGTTCAACTTGTAACAATGAAAATACATCCTGCATATCAGATACTTACATTACGATTCATAACAGTAGCAAAATTACAGTTATGAAGTAGCAACGAAAATAATTTTATGGTTGGGGGGGTCACCACAACATGAGGAACTGTATTAAAGGGTCGCGGCATTAGGAAGGTTGAGAACCACTGCCTTAGGTTAACCTGCCGTGTTTTCTAATGTTTTGTGCCGTTGATTAACTATCTTGCACTTTGGCTCATTGTAGGTGGTATCTTGGCCAACAAACAAAACTGCTTCGATGACTTTCAGTGTGCTGCTGAGTATCTTATAAAGGAAGGTTACACGTCTCCCAAGAGGCTGACAATTAATGGAGGTTCAAATGGAGGCCTCCTAGTGGGTAAGGACTGAATTTTATTCATTATACTTACTAGTTACCACTCTTGGGATTTTCGTGTGCACTGTTGACAGTTCTTGATTTACTTTGGCTCATGGATGGCAGCAGTGGTACAAAGAAAACAAAACCGTTTGTATTTGGGCCTAAAGACCCAGCTGATGCTACATTCCCTAAACTTGACTTACGACAGCCTACAAAACCTGTCTGGCCTCCCTGCTCTGAGCTCTTCTGGGCTGGACTGCAATTCTCTCTCCAACCGGTTGGACCCCTTTCCCCACACACTGGAGCCACAGGTTTCTAGAGTCCAGGCAGAACAGTCCTGAGCCTGATAACCCCTCTGATTGTATTAGTCAGGACTTGTACGATGTGATTATCACTAAACATTTGTTGAATAACTACACCCGGTGATGCTAAATGCTGTGAGTACAGAGAGAAAAGTCGCGAGGGAAATGAGGTACGTATAAAGATGGATCTATAGCATAAGGGTAATGAAATAGTCACAGAAGTTTTTCCCAAAGGAGTGAGTACCTCGTGTGCCAGGCCCAGTCTGAGACCTTGCTGAGACCTTGATGTACACGCAGCCTGGGAGATGGGGACTGGCAATGCCCCATCTTACGTAGGACACACCGGGGCACCGCTTGCCCAGCGTGTCACGGTTGGAAGTGGTGAGGCTGGGGCTAGCACTGTGGTTTTAGATTCTGCTCTTTTAATCATTTTGTGGCACTGCTTCTAAGTACCTAATTTTTGGTAGTTAATGAAATTTGAGTGCGTTTTTCTCAGTCGCACTGAAAGTTGTAATGAAAATCTGTAGTGGACCTGAACTTTGCTGGCTGGGTCTTCTTACATCCAATGTCATTAGCACATGAAGGGCCATTATACAAATGTAGAATAGGATATATAAGCTCAACTTAAAACACACATGACAATTTTCGGGGTTTTCCATCCACGGCTGTGGAGGAGGGCGGCAAGGAGCAGCTCATACACTCAGTTTCCTTGTTTTGTGAATATACTGAGTCATGTCAGAATCTGAGTTCCTGTCCTGACTCTTTACCTCAATAGAATATAGTGTTGGGGGAAAAAAAAAATTTCCTTTGGAGGTAAAATCTCTTATGTCCAAAATGATGTTCCATTTTAAGTTTAGAAAGTGTATTGATAACAATCTCAGGAACAACACAGACAGCACCTCTGCCTTCCTGGAGCTTTCATTCTCGTCCTAGGAGCAGGCAGTGCACCTGAGGCCCTGAGCCCAGCCCGGGCTGGGAGGGGTCTAGCAGCCGGGAGGAGACCCACGTCTGTGGCTGGGCACGGTGAGCAAGGGGGAAGTAAGCCGTGGCAGGACCTCAGAGCCAGGGTAGAGGACCTGGTTTACTGTGAAATAAGCCTTTGTGGGAGTTTTGAGAGAAGTATCATAATTTGACTTATTTTTTTCCATAGGATCATGCATTGATCCTATTACAGTTAGTGCAGATGGAAGGAGAGTCAAGGGCAAAAAAGCAGGCCAGGTGGGAGACTTCTGTCCAGGAAGGAACAGTGTGGCCTGGCCCTGGGGTGTAGTGATGGAAGGCCTTCAGTCCACAGGCCAGCGCTCTGTCCACTAAGCCAAACCAGCGAGGGTGAGATGGAAGGCCTGGGAAGTGGTCAGGTTCTGGGAATATTTTGAATTGGAAACAACTGAATTTGTATGTGGATTACAGGTCAGGTGTAAGAGAGAGAAGAATTCAGGGCAAATTTAAGATTTAATAGGAGAAGCTATTGAAAATGCCATCTGCTTCCAGTCGTGGGAGAATTGCTTTGTGATTTATTGGTTCGCCCAGTAACCCCTTTATATTTAGGCATTAGTTTGTGTCTGTTGACACACCTGGTCCCTTAAGGAACCTGCAGAGATGGAGTCCCCCCTCTGGATGCTAAGTGCTATTTAGAAGACAGTTTCCTCTCCCTCCCGCCTCTGAGGGGGAGGACAGGGATCTCTAAGGGTAGGACTCAGGATTCAGTATGAGGAATAAGCCCTGAAATCAGAATTGGGGTGGGCACGATGTTTTTGCCAGCTGTGATGTGACTTCCTTCCTAACCGCCTTACACCTGGTTAGGTACCTCTACACCCCACCTGAATTTTTTGAACACTGTTGTTGCTTCCTCGGTTTTTTATCTTTCCCACCTATCCCCAGGCCTAGTGCCAGGCACATGGCAGATGTTCAATAAATACAAAGAAGAATCTTTTTAAAACAGGACAGAGCCCTGAGCTGGGTTTTAGGCCTATTCTGCCTTGGGCTGTACAAACTGTTTCTACTCACAACACTTTTCCGCACCAACCAGGTATCCTCCAAATCACTTCCGTTCTGACACTACTCAGAGTTAGCACGGACCCCACAAAGTAAGGGCTCAGATCCACAAGACTGCTCCCAAGATGTCAGTCACCAGTCCTGGGCCTCCCAGGACCCCCTCCTCAGGTTCAAACTCTTTTCTTACATTTACCAGTTTGTTCTAAAGGACGGAACCCAGGAACAGTCAGATGGAAGAGCCAATTGGAGTAAGGTATAAGGAGGCGTGGGTGTGGCACTTCCATGCCCTCTCTGAGCACGCCACCCTTCCAGCTCCTGAGTGTGTTCCCTGACCTGGAAGCTGTCTGAACTCTGTTGTTTCAGGGGTTTTATGGAGGTTCTAGTATATAGGCACAAGTGATTAGATGATTAGCCATCAGTGATTGAGGCAAGCTCTAGCCCCTCTCCCTCCTCAGAAGCCAGAAGTGTGTGTTTTTTGTTTGTTTGTTTGTTTGTTTGTTTTTTGTTTTTTTTTTGCTTAAAGCATTACAAACGGTATTACATATGTGTCCTTTTTTTCCCCCGCCCTTGACAATACCCCGGCTTCCCCTACCCCCCAGTGTCTTATGTCCATTGGTTATGCTCATATGCATGCATACAAGTCCTTCGGTTGATCTCTTACCCCCCTCCCTCCTGCCCCCCAACCCTCCCCGCTGCAGTTTGACAATCTGTGTGAGGCAGCTCTGCCTCTGTATCTATTATTGTTCAAAAGTTTATAATGGTCTCTATTATCCATGAATGAGTGAGATCATGTGGTATTTTTCCTTCATTGACTAGAAGCCAGAAGTTTTGAGGGAGAGATGACAGTTCCGACCTTCGAAGCACATGATTGATTCCTCTAGCAGCTGGTCCCAATCCTGAAGCCATCTAGAGCCCACTAAGAGCCACCCATTAGCATAAACTCAGGCACTGTTGAAAGGGGCTAGATTTGAATGATGAGACACTCTGAGTTCTGTGCCAGGAACAAGAACTAAAATGTATATTATTACACTAGAGGCCTGGTGCATGGATTCGTGCACTGGTGGGGTCCCTCAACTTGGCCTGTGGACATCCCCTGAGGGGTCCCGGATTGTGAGAAGCACAGGCCAGGCCAAGAGACCCCACTGGTGCATGGTGGAGGCCAGGGAGGGACCATCCGCAGGAGGGCTCTAGACCTGACTCACCCAGTCCCGATCAACTGGACCCCAGCAGCAAGCTAACCTACCTATCGGAGTGTCTGTGCCCTGGTGGTCAGTGTGCCTCATAGCAACCGGTCAAATGAACAGTTGAACATTTAGCATATTAGGCTTTTATTATACCTGAGGCCCAGTGCACAAAATTCGTGCATGGGGGTGACAAAATTTGTGCATGGGGGTGGGGGGTCCCTTAGCCCAGCTTGTACCCTCTCCAATCCGGGACCCCTCAGGGGATATCCGACTGCCGGTTTAGGCCTGATTCCTCCTAAACCGGCAGATGGACATCTCTCTCGCAATCCAGGACCACTGGCTCCTAACCGCTCGCCTGCCCGCCCCAGCTGGCCTGATCATCCTTAACCACCTCTGCCTTGGCTCCTGCCACCATGGCTTTGTCCAGAAGATGTCTGGTCTAATTAGCATATTACCCTTTTATTAGTATAGATAGGATTGCAATATCACAGGCTTGTTTTGAGACCCCTCCCCAACAGGTTTCTTAACCTCCCTCACCTGCGAAAGCAAGTAGGGAGGAGAGGACACAGGTTTTTCAAATAACCCTCCCCCCCCCCCCCTTGAAATTTACTTTGGTGCGTAAATCTCTATTGCTGATGAGACTATCCCACCTCGGATGTACTGGAAGGAAGGGGAAAGCTTGTGGGCCATTAGGCAGGTGATTTATGATGGTTTCTTTCTGTGCTCTAAGAAAAAAGGCAGCCAAGGTTCTGAAAGCACCTACGTGTTCTTTTGCTCTGGTTTATTTAGCTGTTTAATAATAGACTGCCTCCCTTTTCTTTCTGTCTCGGTTTTTAGCTGCTTGTGCAAATCAGCGGCCTGACCTCTTTGGTTGTGTTATCGCCCAAGTTGGAGTAATGGACATGCTGAAATTCCATAAATACACCATCGGCCATGCCTGGACCACTGATTATGGGTGCTCAGACAGCAAACACCACTTTGAATGGCTTATCAAGTAAGGTTTTAATTCATATTGATGTATATGTTGCTAGCAATTTGATATCCTTTTGACTGACTGTTCAGACTTACTAGTATGGTCTTTAACTCCTTACTCTCCTCCATGTCTCATATTTGTATATAATTTACTGCAAAAGTAAGGGAAGTGATGGGAATACCTGTCTTCCTTATTTTGATCTTGTCTTTAACAAAAACAAACTACAGAGGCATGAAAGGCAGAATCTAAATGTGCTCCCCCCCCCCCCCAGATATCCGTCTCCTTCTCTTACACACTAATCCAGGCACTGCTGTGAAGGGACTTTGCAGATTAAATTAAGGCTACTAATCATCTGACATTAAACTAAGATTATCCTGGATTGTCCAAATGGGCCCAGTCTACAGGGACGTACCCTTAAAGGCAGAGCACTCTCCGCTGGAGTCAGGGATGCAGGGGAAAGGGAGGCCACAGAGATCGGAGCATGAGGAGGACTTGACCCTCCAGGGCTGGCTTTGAAGATGAGAGGAGGGGCCTCTAGAACCTCAGTCCTCTAGCCTCATGGAACTGGGTTCTGCCAGCAACCTACATGAGTCTGGAAATAGAATTTTTTCCAGAATTTCAGCCCAGCCAGCTGACGCCTTGATTTTAGTCTGGAGAGATCTAAAGCAGAGAACCCAGTTGAGCCAATCCGGACTTCTGACGTACAGAATTGTGAGATAAAAAATCAGGGTTGTTTTAAAAAGCTACTAAATATTGTTGCTCTTAAGATGTCTGTGATATACGGGGTGGGCAAAAGTAGGTTAATGGTTGTAGTGCAAAACAGTTTACTCTTGTATTATTATTTATTAAGTTTTGTATTATGGCTGTACACCTACTTTTGCCCACACCTATATATTCTCTCTGGATTTGAATTTTCCAGCCTAGCACTCATCGGCTTGCATTTACCTCTTTATCAGCTGCTCCCATTGAGCAGAGAGCTCAGCCCCACACACTAGAGCCAGAAGGGTCCCTACAAGGACCTGCTCAAGCCCTGCACCCCTGGCCTGGAGTGTGCCCCAGGAAGCACCATGGGGCCCCCCAAAAGAGAGCTGGATAAATGAAGCCTAACAGATTAGAACTTCTTAGAATCTTTAACATATAAATGTGGCATGTGAATCTTGAGGGGGGGGAGGTTTGTAATGTTAATAGGCAGAGTTTCCCCGTAGAACTATTATCTGGAGGGCTGGGGCTAATCCAGAAACACTCTGAAATGAGATCAGAAAACAGTCCATTGCCCCCATCGCATCTACTGGGAGCAGTTAATGCTGAACCCTTTGAAAAACATGACACCACCCTGGCCGGTTTGGCTCAGTGGATGGAGCGTCAGCCTGCGGACTGAAAGGTCCCAGGTTCGATTCTGGTCAAGGGCATGTACCTTGGTTGCAGGCACATCCCCAGTCGGGGGTGTGCAGGAGGCAACTGATCGATGTTTCTCTCTCATCAATGTTTCTAACTCTCTATCCCTTTCCCTTTCTCTCTGTAAAAAGTCAATAAAATACATTTAAAAAAAAAAAAGAAAAACATGACACCCATATTGAATAAAATATAAAGAAAAAATATCCAGAGATTTCCCTCACTTAACTAGTATGAATCACTGTGTAACTCAACTGTGTTTTCCTTCTAAAACTCTTTTCGTTAACGTGACTGGCAACTTACCTTATACTTCAGAAGGTGCCTTCTCTGCTCTTTCACGGACGTTCTCGCCATTGGCCAAAGGCGGTTTCTCTGCTGGAGCCAGCAGCCCGGCCCAGGTGCACGGGCAGGAAAGTAGGCCATGTGATCCTCCCAAGACTGCCGAGCTGAGCCTGTAATAAAGGTTTTACAGACATTAAAGGGCAGAAAGCAGATTTCAAGTTCTTCAATAAAAGAAAGGCTTGCACCTATTACATCCACATTCAGTGATTTAAAAAGACAGTTGGTCCCTGGCTGGGTGGCTCAGTGGTTGAGCATCGTCCAGTACACCAGAGGTTGCAGGGTCAGTAATTCCCGGTCAGGGCACGTATAGGAGGCAACTGGTCAATATTTCTCTCCCTCTAAAAATCAAGAAAAACATATCCTCGGGAGGGTTTTAAATAAAAACAAAGACAATCAGCCACTCAGTACTAATGAAAAAAATAAGAATCTGAAAATACTCAGTTCCTGACGATCAATGTGCACATAGGTGTGATTATTTCAACAGCCCCGTGAGTTTCGTTTCTTATTCAGTCCTCCAAAGTAGGAGCCAAATAAATGACAGAGCTCTTCCCAATCTCCAGTGGCCCTGGCCAGTGAAGGCCGAAATCGCGGTGCAAGCAGCCTGCAGTCGTCGCCATTGCCATGGAGTGGCTGTGGGCCTGTGGCTAATGGTGTTAGGCTGGTAAACCACTAGATCACCCTGCCCTCCTTCATTGTCCTAGTGAACAAACAGCTCCGCTTTTGCTATTTAGATCATGAAAGTGCCTTTGCCTTTCAGGTATTCTCCATTACATAACGTGAAGTTACCAGAGGCTGACGGAATCCAGTACCCGTCCATGCTTCTCCTCACCGCCGACCACGATGACCGTGTGGTCCCGCTTCACTCCCTCAAGTTCATTGCCACCCTCCAGTACATCGTGGGCCGCAGCCGGAAGCAAAGCAACCCCCTGCTTATCCACGTGGACACGAAGGCGGGCCACGGGGCTGGGAAGCCCACAGCCAAAGTGATAGAAGAAGTCTCAGATATGTTTGCATTTATAGCGCGGTGCCTGAACATCGACTGGATTCCGTAACGGAACTGCCCGCGCCCTCCTGACAGCCACACAAAACCTCAAGGGCTTTCCCACCGTTAAACCCGAGAAACCACTGGGCGTGCTGCTTCCCCACGTGAACACGGTTCCTGCACTCACAGACTGCCGTTGAGCAGAACTGCTGCGGGAATCATTTTATCTTTTCTAGCCTCCTCCTTTTTAGCAAGCCCTTGGCGTTTTTTGTGTTTGTTTTCTCTCCTCCACCCTGTGCAGGCACATGTTTAAAAAAACAAAACAAAAAAACAGGCATGTTTGGGTAAATAAGGAAGTGGCAGTCAACACATTGTGAATATTAGATTGCTGAATTAAGAGTCATAGTTGGGCATCCTTCGTATATAGCACCTCATGGAATTTGCTTCTATAATCATAACCAGTATATCTCTACATAAATGTGAGACCTGTTCTCATGAAAGACTTCTTTGCAACAACAATAAATGTTATTTAAGAACGGGAGGCGTGGTTTCTGGTTCCTTTGTGTTGTGGGGCAGCTCCAGATGTGCAGTCATTCCGGATCCTGTCGCTTTTCTATGGAAATAAGCAGTTCGCCTTTCCACAAAGATTAATTTCTAAACAAGAAGTCAGGGGACGTTAGCACTAGAAACAAGTTGAGTGCGCCATTCCAGCTCCCTTGTTGGTGCGTGATGAAGCTATTAGAGGTGGCTCACCTTCTTAGAGATTTACACTCAGCTCAGAATCTGGGCCTCTTTGGTTTGGATGCCTCCTCTGAAAAATGAGTGGGCCAGAAAGTAAAGATTATGCACCTTTTTGTCTATCAATTTGGTTACATAGTATCACTGGACATCAGAGTACAGTACTAGGATATAAAACTAAGAGACCACATGAGTGAACTATCCAAACAGATACATTTATCCAAACTTATAGTCAGAAATTTCAGCATTTCCCAAGCTGTTTTTTCCCCCATAGACTACTTTCTGGAAATAGAAAAGTTCATATTTATTTAAAAAAAAAAAGGGGGGGGGGTGCCCTGGCTGGTGTTGCTCAGTTGGCCTCACACCAAAGGGTCTTGGGCGTGATACCTGGGTTGCAGGTTTGAGCCCTGGCCCCCATTCGGGGCCCATGTGGAAGCACATGTTTCTCTTAAATTGATGTGTGTGTGTATGTGTCTCCCCCTCTCTCCCTCCCACTCTCTTTAAAAGTCAATGGAAAGAATATCCTCAGCCCTAGCCAGTTTGGCTCAGTGGGTAGAGCATTGGCCTGCGGACTGAAGGATCCCGATTCAATTCCAGTCAAGGGCATGTACCTCAGTTGCAGGCTCCTCCCAGGCCCTGGTCAGGGTGCCTGAGGGAGGCAACCAATCGATGTGTTTCTCTTATATTGAAGTTTCTCTCTGTCTTTCACTCTCTAAAAGTATCAATGAAAAAATAACCTCAGGTGAGGATTAAAAAAGAAATATATTAAAAATTTTAAAAAGAATATTCTCAGGTGAGGATTTAAAAGAACGACAAATGGGTTTGGATCCCCTACCTCCACCCTGAGTTCTTAGGAGGATGTATCATTCCTCAAACTATTATCTATAAAAAAATTTAAGTCATTTGTTTTATCTCATGAAACATTGTTCCTTTGGGCATCAGTTTGGGGAATTGCTGATTTAATTTAGAAAAGAAAACTGTTTCTTTGTCTTGCTTCATCAGACAGGACAAAAATTACTATCTATTTTGTATGAAGTATCTTAACCATTAAAAAACAAAAAAAGCTTACAAGGCCCTGGACAGGTAGCTCAGTTGGTGTATTGTCATCCCAATACACCAAGGTTGTGGGTTCAGTCCCTGGTCCAGGCACATACAGAAATCAACCAATGAATGCATCAATACGTGGAACAACAAATCAATGTTTCTCCAAAATCAAACTTTTAAAGAAGCTTAAAAGATTACTTCATTATTCCAATAACGTGCTTTTCCAAGTAAGTTTTTCCAAATCATCCATATTTGTGCTTTTCTTTGAGTTAGTTCTCTCTGCCTTTCAAATTGTGGTCTAAAATCAAACACATTTTTCTCTCACTACCTACCAAGCACAGCTGAAAGGTAGCCACCTGGTTTGATTTTTCTCTTCTAAAATCGTGCTGTTGCTGTTTGTGTAAATAAGCACTGTATATAGTGCAGTTGTCAGTGAGCATAGGATTCACTATAATCCCCTGGAGAAAATCTGTGTCACTAGATAGCAGTGCATGCAGAGGCTGACATCACCGGCTACCCAGAGAGATGCTAATACTAGCTAAATGCCATGTAACTGCTGACCAGCGTGGCAGGGAAAATATGCATCTGCACAGATAAACCAAAGGCAGCCTTTTTTCTGGATCAGTTGGGTCATTTGCGGTACAGACAATGGCGTTGTACCCACTCGGTCCAGAGCATTTTCTTTTCCCTTTTCCCTTTTAATTGAATTTATTGGGGTGACGCTGGATAACACAATTAGATTTCAGGTGTACAATTCTATTATACACCCTCTGTATTTTGTACTGTGTGTCCACCACCCCAAGAGTCCAGAGCATTTTCAAGCTTGCACAGACCCCAGCCATCCTCCCCACTGAGGTCTCCTTGGCAGCAGAAAGTGGGAATACAGTGTGCAGAGTCTCAGCTCCAGATGTCAGTCAGGCCCAGGTTCAAACCCCAGCTCAGTCATTTAGTAACTGGTGATCATGAGGAATGAACAAAATAATACCCTTCTAAGTACCTAGCATATCATTGGCTGTCGATTGTGAGTGCTCTTTCCCAAGCTACTTTTCATTTCTAGATTTTACCTGGACAACTGGACCCCAAAGCGGAAGGTAGCTTTGTAAAGCCTTAAATATTGGAATTAAGACTTGGGGGTGGGCTCCTTCCCAGGTCTCAGGGTATCTTCCCTGTTCGATTCCACCTTCCTCTGTGTCCTGTGCTCTGCCTCCCTGCTCTGTCTTACGTTGGTCTACGGGGTTTTGAAAAAGAGCTGCGTACGTTACACAGGTGGTCTAGCTGCCTTGTCATGGGCCTTGCTGAACATGCTGCAGAGCACTGGCACCTCAGTAAGATAAAGTCACATTTATGACAACGTGGACACACCTGGGATACTGTAAAATGTTGCAATTAGTCTCATTTCCTAATACTCCCACAAATTTTTGGCAATTACAAACACATGGTGCTGCTAGTTTGAAAGTTTAAATTTCAACTAAGAAAGCCTGTCACCAATTTCTCCATATTTACCAGACAATTTTACCAGCCTAGGGGAGTTCCCCAGGGTAGACTATATATAACCAATTCCCAGAAGGGTTACAAAGACTCAAAGATGAGTTACGGAGAGGTGGGAAAACTGTAAAGGGGGGGAGGGGCATGTAAAAGAGCAAAGGTCAGACTATAAGGGGGTGGTCAGGCCGGCGGGGTGAGGACTGAGGCGAGTGAATAAGGAACGTTTTGATATATTCCACATCCATTCATATGCTCAGGGCTGGTGGTGCAAAGAGAAAAAACTCTGTCTTCCTGAAGCTGGCACTGCAGAGGGAGGAGAAGATGGTCAATTATGTGGCTGAGTCCCTGTGCCGCCTGCTCGGAGCCCTCTGAGTGTACTAGTAAGGATGTGTCTGTCCTCCAGCCACTCATAAACCATGTCCTACTCCTACCCCCACTTGGCGAGGGGCCAAGTTCCCCAGGCAGGAAGTGGGCAGGCAGGGCAGTCACCTTGGCCGCTGGACCCTAATGAGCACTCTTGCCCACTAGTCTGCTAACAAATAAGAGGGTTCTGGCTCCAGACGGTGACGTAGGAGGGTTTTGAACTCACCTCCTCCTAAGGTCACACCAAATCTATAGCTACATACAGAACAATGTCCTCTGAAAGAAACTCAAAAACTAGATGAGCAACACACCTACACTGGGCAGATGAGAAAACCACATCGAAACAGGAGAGGCTGAGACACAGGCACCATGGCCCCCACAGTCACCCACAGTCAGGAGGGAACGCACAACTCGGGGCTGCTTCCTGAGAACCCCACATCTGGCACCCCAACTTTAAAAGCCTGCACCTGAGAGACAATCCCCCAAGTCTTCCAGCTTTAAAAGCCAACAGGGCTTGTGTCCATGAGACCCACTGGCTAGAGCAAACTGAGAAACAGTTTTTATTTTTGTTTTGTTTTTGTTTTTCAGTCTGACCACATTTTTAATTTGAAAGATAAAAAACCGTAAGACTATAGAAAATTAATAGTTTTTAAAGATCTCTCTTAACTTTCAAATACACAATATAGTATTATTAACGATATAGTCACCATGCTGCACTTATAACTGGATTTTTGTATATTTTGGCCACCGTCACCCATTTGGTTCACCTAAGAAGCAGTTCTTAAAGGGCTCACAGACTCACCTGGCTACCTACCAGCAGAGAGGCAGCCAACTGAAAAGCTTCCAGTCTTTCTGCGAAAGACGCCTATTGGCTTATCTTAACGCTTTGGCATGAGGGGCAGGCTTCTAACTTAACCTCTACTGAAATGCTCTCCAAAGCCCACAGAGCCCAGTGGGAGGCTCTTCACACTCTGCCCTGATCCAGTTGAGTGTTTCCCAGAAAGGAACCTGTGTACATGTCTGGTGCCCAGCATTTGTGGCTGTGCCAGACCCCTTGGTAGCCTGGCCCTAGTGGCTAGCAGGGCTTGTGTTCACAGAGCTTCTGTTCTTATGTTAACTGAACAGTAGCAAACAAAGAAACAGCTCTTAACTGGCTATTACGCCAGGGTTCAGAGCAGAGGGAGCAGACAGACATGCCCACCTCCCAGTCTTCCCCTGAAAAAGGAATATTCACATGCTTTTTAAAAAAATTCTTTATGCCAAAACTGGTTTGGCTCAGTGGATAGAGCGTCGGCCTGCGGACTGAAAGGTCCCAGGTTCGATTCCGGTCAAGGGCATGTACCTTGGTTGCGGGCACATCCCCAGTAGGAGATGTGCAGGAGGCAGCTGATCGATGTTTCTCTCTCATCGATGTTTCTAACTCTCTATCTCTCTCCCTTCCTCTCTGTAAAAAATATATTTTTAAAAAAAATTCTTTTATTGTTGAAAGTATTTACATATGTCCCCACTTTTCTCCCATTAACCTCTCACATACTTTAAAAGCTGCTGCCCAAGGGTCTGGTTTTCAGTCAGCTTGCATCTAGGTGCTGACTGAAATCCTCCCCTGTGGGACACTGACAGGTCCGGTACACCCTCAACTACTGGGAGCCACTAAGAGTAAAGTAGGCTGTTTGGGCAATCACGAAGGTTTGAGAAACAACCAAGACATAAGGAGGGGTTGAACAGTAAGAAAGAAGGAAAGAAAGAAGAAGGAAAGAAGGAAAGAAGGAAAGAAAGAAAGAAAGAAAGAAAGAAAGAAAGAAAGAAAGAAAGAAAGAAAGAAAGAAAGAGGAGAAGGAGAAGGAGGAGGAGGAGGAGAGGAGGAAGAAGAAAAAGGAGGAGGAGGAGGAGGAGGATGATTTTCTAAATGAG